ATTATACTTACCAAATTCAAATAATACGGATTTATGTCGTGACTCAAATTGTTCTTGGGTTGGAAGAAACGTTGCAATGTTCAATTGTTGTTTTATAATAATTCTGGGGGAGTATCATAGGGCTGATAACGTCATGTCGGAACTTTTCTTTCATTTGGGCGAGTCTCCTATTTCTCGAGTGGGCCTCCAAGTTCCAGGCCTGCCTTTGCTGAGATTGCTGGGCCTACTAAGGCGATAACGCTACGCCGCCCTTGCATCATCACAGTCGACATTTTTGACAGCAAGTCCAAGGCATAAAGTCAAACGAACTTCGAGTGAAAGGAAACGAAGGGCAACCACGAGGCGCACGGTAGAGGTGTTGGCGGGTATTGGCAAGGCATGCTTCCGTATTCAGAAGGGCTGCTCCAGTGTTCCCGCGGTACCTGCTCCATTAGACGGCGAATGCTCACCGCAGGCCCGCTTTAGCCTAGACCCAACCAATATGGCTTCAAAATGCGCCCGTTTTGCTATACTACGCCTATGGACGCGCCATCTCCAGTTCTATTTCTTAGCTCAGTGGGTGGGATACGGAGAGATCGTTCGCGGACATCCCAGAAATCACAACATGGCGCCCGACATGCATCTCAGTCCCGGAGCATTCTCTCCCCAAACCGAGTCCGGATGGTTCGAAGAACTCCAGGTAGGCCTAACGCTCCACATCCGCACTGAAATGGTTCGTGAAGTCCGAATAGCCCCGCGATCGGCCTAACGCTACACGTCCTTGACGTGATGCCTTGAAGGCCACGGGATCGAACTTGAAAGGTCTCTTTGGACACATAAGTCGGGGATTGAGCTTCTTTTGAAAGGAAGAAGGTGCGATAATATAATCATAGAGGCAAATTCAAACAATTTTGTGACCCTTCCTCAGAGGAAGGGAGTGTGCAGGAGAAGAGAAATCTAGATTTTCCCATTCTGATTTCATCCTGTGAAATTTCACCGACTCCTCCATTTTTCGCGAACAGTCGATAGACCGGCCGAGGCCAATGGAGATTTGAGCCTCGGGATACTTTGGACTCGAACGCCGACGGGGAGGATGATGAAGGCGAGACGCGCTCTTCCACGGCTGCACTGCGGAGGATGGAACAGGCGCTGTCGCTTCGAGTCCCTGCCTCGGGCGAGCCCGCGAGGCCGAAGAGGAGCCGGGCGAGTGGGGCGTGAAGGGACTGGAGCCGGTACCGTCGACGATGCTCCTTTCTGGTTTGTTTTTTTTTTTTCATGCAGGCCGAGGCTTCGGTCGGACGCCTTTCGAAGTCATCTTTCTGCATTCGGATATCGAACGCGAGCGCACCGCTACAGGCTTTCTTCCGTGCGGAGCCAGTTGCCCTGCTCTTCGTCCGGAGTCGGTCGAACGTCCGGAAGTCCTTTCCAAGAATCGGAACGGGAAAAGCCCGACTGAACGTCCTGTCGTCTGTCTCTGTCTGATCTTACTCTGGCTTTTATGCACCGATAATTCGATCCCGACGCACCTCGGAGTGTCGCGATCCTCGAGGACTTTCGTCCGGTGGTCGTCTCGGCTGCCCAGAAAGAGATTTCCGCACGTCTGCTCCTCGGCACCGACGGCTTCGGAAGGGGGAAAGAAATCCGCGTCGAAATGCGTCACGGTGCAAGGCGAGTCCGGGGACGCTCGGCGAGCATTCGGGAATGATCATCCTCCGCGGGCGGTCGTCTCGGGCGGCTCCGTTGACGACAGCGGGGACGTCCGACGTCTCCCTGGGTGAAGAGAAGAAACGACCCGCGAAGCCATTCACCACGGAATCTCATGAATCCTTTCTACCGACGGAGGGGAATCCTCGACTATCGCTCGCGTCTCCGGCTGGGCGGGGTGGCACGGAATCCTGAGAAATTTCCTCGGTGCCGGTCGGATCGTGGGAATGGCTGAGACCGGAATCTTCAAACTGGTCGAATAAAAGTGAAGGAAATTGATGGTCCCCGAACCCAGACACCAAGATGGCATCGTGACCGGTGACGATCGTCGTAACGATCCTCGTGACTGATCAAAGCCACACGGTAAATTCAGTCCCGGTTCGAACGCGTTTTCGACACGCACACAAGCTCCAATACGGTCAGATTAGAAAGGAAAAGACTGATTTCCTTCAACTTTTTGTGTGGTGGGGAGGTTCGAGGAACTTGAACTCATCGGCGCCACGGTAGAAGGGCGATATGTCGACAAAATGGACTAATGGAATTTTTAACACGCGGGATCATTTAAAGGTTCGAGGTCAAACGATTCTTTTCAAGTGCAGTTCGATACGTTTGAAAAAATAAACTTGTTCTTTAAATAAAATATCAAGAACTCATTTTTTATAATAACAAATATAAGTACCCAGACCAAAGCGTACCTGGCAGTCGATTGTTTGCATCATCGCAACCCGAGTCTGGGTTCTTTTTCAGGGCTTTGCTCCGAAGGAGAAAAAAAAAACGCATTAAAACTCGCATCGTTTAATCATGAACGGGGGGAAATGTGTTGTTCGATGACTTCGCGTTTTCAGGCTTATAAAAAAATAAGGAAAATTCGTTCATTGCCCGTCGTTTCGACCAAAAGACCCTCAACTCCAAATGAAATGCACAAACAGGAGACGTGAAGGCTTTCCTTCATAAAGCCGGTTTATTTGAAGGCAAAAAGGAATTGAGGAAGTGAAGCGCACCCGAGGACGCGGCGCCCAGAGCGATCCCGCGCCCCCCCCCCCCCTCGCCGCGGAGGAAGGGAGAGACTCCGACGCACGGAAGAAATGTAGTCGCAAGGGTGTGGCATCACAGTCGCGAGGGCGTGGCATCGCAGTCGCGAGGGCGTGGCATCACAGTCGCATGTGGGTCCTCCCTGGAGGATCCCGGCTCCGCGCCTTTCGCGATCCGCGAGTGACATCCTCCACTTCGCATGCGCATGACGATAACAAAAACTAGAGTCTTGAGCCGCGGTGTCACAATACTCGGAAAGCGTATTGCCGGTTAAACATCGAAATTTGCTCCACCTTGCCCCACCTTCCTCCTCCTGCCCCACCTTCTCCCCGCTCTGACTCGCACGGGCAGAGCTGTTCCACTGCGATCTTCCACTTGAACGCAGAGAGACGAGAAACAGACTGCAGAAGCGGCACGAAAAGCGTTCGGCACCCCGCCTCATCGAGCACGCCGTTCAGACCGATTACGAATACGGTCATAGGGTTACAGCCGAGCGAACCGGGATGGTCATGCTCGGCACGTTCAAAGTTACTGCTGGATCGTGAAACGGTTTTCCGTTCGAAGACTCCTCTTGCACTGGATTCCATAAATGAATCCATTAAAAAAGCAAACGTTACAGGAGACTTACGTTCCACCGTCCAGAGCTTTTTCTTAATAAATATAACCCTCCGAGAAAACAATCGACACGACCTATCTCTCGTAGGTCGAAAACTCAAACCGTTCGGAAGACCCCATCAATGTGACAGGTCTCGGTCCCACTCATCACGATCACGACAGACTCCCCCCTCCGTGAAAAACAATCACACACATCATATCGGCTTCCCATAAGCCACGCGGATCTTCGCAATCTTGGAGGCCATCTTGGCCAAGTCCTTCGGGTCGCTCCCGTACTTCGCCTTCAGCTCCTCCGCGAAGCCAGGCATGAGCTTGTTGTTGTCCTCCTGCTGCCTCGCCCTCCAGCTCGGCCGACTCCTGATGGTCTGGAAGCCCCAGTGGGACGTGAAAGCGTTGTTCAGCACCAGGAACTGGTAGCCCGCCACGTACAGCTCGTACGCCTGGAAGATCACAGAATTTAATTAAGCTTCCGTCCGTCGATCGTATCGTTTCGGGGTCATGCTCACGAACTGGAATTTTAATGGTGAGAATCCACGTCACGCCGGACCGTAAAATGCCCTCCTGCCGACCGTCGGCTGATATGATGCATAATGATTATTTTTTTATGGTTCTGCATTCCTACTTCTGTGGGAAAAGAAAAACCATTCACCAGAACCCTTCCAGAACCAATGACTTACAGCCAGAAATTATTTTCGACATTTAGCCAGTTTGCGGTACGTACGAGAAGGTAACGTCCACCAACGAGGACTGGGACCGACATGAAACGCTGCAGGAAATGAGTTCGCTGCATCTCCGGTCCGAAGAGGAAATGAAGCTGTCAGGCCGTCCCGACCAACAGAAAGGCATACTTTCCACCCATCATCATTAACGACGTCTCAAAAACATGGCGGAGATCTAGCCAGAGGACGCAAAAAATTACGGGAGATTGCTCCACGAGTACTCCAATCCAATTGGATTGAACGAAAGATCCTCTTTCACGCGCAGAGCCCCTCGAGGAATTCACGGGGGGAAAAAAAGTAAAACGGTTCAGGCGAGCAGACCTTCCATTTGTTCCCCCTGCATCGGAAGGACGGCTTCGTCTTTTCCGCGATTCTCCCTCGGGAGACACAAAAACGAAACGAGATCGTGAATGCGCGCTGTAGAATCTCCCGTTTCTTCCCTCGACAATTTATGACCTTCGCGGAATTGGCTTCCCCTCGAGGAATCAAAGCCCCAAGGACGATGGGATGACAGCCGGTGACAGGCACCTACTCTCTAAAACTCATCAGGTCCCATGATGTAATTCTTGTGAATGAGACGACCGAACTCCATATGGGCTCATCCAATTAAAATAAATTGAAATAGCAATAGCCCGCCGTGCGAAACAGAATTGCACGCTTTCGGCAAGAAACTTTTGGATCATAAGCGTACTGAATTGCTTGCATTGTTGCACCTGGCGGCGAGACGGTCATTGAATTCCGCTAACGAGCGTCGACGTCATTGATATACATCAAGAAAAACCAATGCTTGAGATGTTAATTCATTTCGAGACATTCCATATGAGCTCGACCGACCCGACGGTCGATTTCTTCACCGAGGATGAAGCCACCCGCTCTCTGCGGGTGGTCCCCCTGGCTCCGGCCTTCGTTTCGGAGTCACGAGGGCACGAAAAGGCAACTAGTGCACGGAGAAAAGACTTCTTCGTAACGAGGGGAGTCGAAGGGGGGGGGGGGGGGGGGCGCAGTCTTGAAAGAAGATAGGGGAAAGNGGGGGGGGGGGGGGGAGGGGGGGGGGGGGGGGGGGGGGGGGGGGGGGGGGACGCGCAGTCTTGAAAGAAGATAGAGGAAAGACAATGGGCGGATTACCCTCTTTCCCTCCGTCTGGACGCGAATGCCTGCAGGGAGAATCCTCACCCTCTGCTAATTTCAGGGTCGAGGGAGACTTTTCCCAGACGCTGTAAGTCGATCCCAACATCGACTCGGTTCGCTATACAACTCCTCGGGCGCCGGTGAGAAGGCAGTAAGAGCTCTCTCGAACATGGAGCGCGATGAAGATTCTCGGAGCCTGGCTGTCGACGTCTTAAATCAGTCGGTGTTACGTTTGTGTGTGTTTCCAGGGTCCAGGATCCTTTCGATGGAAAGGGAACGGGAACATCACGCGAAACGATGTATGAATCACTATATCCTTGCAGACGTTCGATACACGCTCTAGTTGGCCCCGCGAACGCGAAAGTGAGGCCCGAGGCGACAGATGATGAACGGATGGGGGGGGGGGGGGAAGAGTTTACAGGTGACGTCATGGATGACATCAGGCTCTCGTCCTCGATCCGTGACCCAGGAAGTGAGACTTAGCAAACTCACTTTCGTCAGCGGTCGAAATGGGGAGCGGCATGGGGGAGATGGGACGGGGGCATGCAAAGCGCACGTGCCCCGTTTCTCCGATGGAGACGAGCGGGAACGGATGGGGGTGGGGAGGGGGCTTGTGCGTGCGAGGGCGCGGAGGAGCGGTATGTCGCGTTTTACGTGCCTCCCCTAAGAGTCAGGTGGGGAGTGGCACCTCGTGGGATGAGAACGTTGAGTCGTTCGCCGATTCGCCGCACCCCCTGGAAAGTGTCAAGAGTCTTCTAGGCGCTTCATCGAATCGATCATCTTCCATCGTGAAGAAGCAGCTTCCATTCGGCCAAAAATAACCGTGTCGAAGGAGATTTCCGCATGAACGCGAGAATCGATTCTTTCGAGACGATTGCCGTTCGCGATGCGACGACCGGCAACCCAGGACTTGGCGTTGCGTTAAAAGTCCATTCGACAGGTGTCTCTAGGTTGAGCCAGCGTGCAAGCATCGATTAAATGACGTTGCAACCTGAGAATCTCCCTTGGATTATATATTCATTTTCTCACGATCAGATCGTCTGGGTCTCGGTCACCGTCGCAACGAATGCCACCACGTCGCCACGGACGACGACTGCGCGACGTCGACGGACGCAGAGGGTAAGCGAAGCAGATTTTTCATTTCTTCTTCTGTTTCTCCGTAAAACGGATTCTATGCGTCATGCGGCAACGCAACGCCTCTATGCTTTAGACGTCTACGTGTACTTCGTGAACGCGTAAAGGTTTGGAGACGTGTGTCCCGACTTCGACCCTGCCCTTACCGCGTCTACACCACAGGAAAAAGGAAAGAGTCTCAGTGAGAGACGATGTGGAACCTCTTTGCGCCCTCGCGACTTCGAAGCACAGGGGGATCCCGCGTGTCGCCCGTGCGGAAACCTGTTCCAGTTTCATCGACCTCGACACCGATGAGGTGTCGCGTATGCATGTGCACGGAAAAGTGACACGTGCATGAGGCATTCAGCCTTATCGGCTACTGGTATATTTTTTTATCTTCATTTGTGGCTTCTCGAGGTGGTCGCATCCGTCGCGATCGCGGGTGGCACTCGTGCGACGGGCAGCTTCAGAATGCACCGAGCGTGGCCAGAGGGTATTACGGTGATTTGTTAAAAAAAAAATAAATAAATATAAAATATTTTTATATTGTAGTCTTTCCAAAACGGTTTATGTCGTCAGCACAGGACATCATAAGTGTCTCTTTCCTACTAACCTAAAGTGTTTGCACGCTGGATATGGGTTAGAAGAGCAGTCTCAAGTCTTCAGCCTACTTCACCTTACATCGCAATCTATACTCCCTGCAGCTGCAGAAGAAGAAGCTAGACTTGGGTGTTGCAAACGNATGATGAACGGAGGGGGGGGGGGGGGAGAAGAGTTTACAGGTGACGTCATGGATGACATCAGGCTCTCGTCCTCGATCCGTGACCCAGGAAGTGAGACTTAGCAAACTCGCTTTCGTCAGCGGTCGAAATGGGGAGCGGCATGGGGGAGATGGGACGAGGGCATGCAAAGCGCACGTGCCCCGTTTCTCCGATGGAGACGAGCGGGAACGGATGGGGGTGGGGAGGGGGCTTGTGCGTGCGAGGGCGCGGAGGAGCGGTATGTCGCGTTTTACGTGCCTCCCCTAAGAGTCAGGTGGGGAGTGGCACCTCGTGGGATGAGAACGTTGAGTCGTTCGCCGATTCGCCGCACCCCCTGGAAAGTGTCAAGAGTCTTCTAGGCGCTTCATCGAATCGATCATCTTCCATCGTGAAGAAGCAGCTTCCATTCGGCCAAAAATAACCGTGTCGAAGGAGATTTCCGCATGAACGCGAGAATCGATTCTTTCGAGACGATTGCCGTTCGCGATGCGACGACCGGCAACCCAGGACTTGGCGTTGCGTTAAAAGTCCATTCGACAGGTGTCTCTAGGTTGAGCCAGCGTGCAAGCATCGATTAAATGACGTTGCAACCTGAGAATTTCCCTTGGATTATATATTCATTTTCTCACGATCAGATCGTCTGGGTCTCGGTCACCGTCGCAACGAATGCCACCACGTCGCCACGGACGACGACTGCGCGACGTCGACGGACGCAGAGGGTAAGCGAAGCAGATTTTTCATTTCTTCTTCTGTTTCTCCGTAAAACGGATTCTATGCGTCATGCGGCAACGCAACGCCTCTATGCTTTAGACGTCTACGTGTACTTCGTGAACGCGTAAAGGTTTGGAGACGTGTGTCCCGACTTCGACCCTGCCCTTACCGCGTCTACACCACAGGAAAAAGGAAAGAGTCTCAGTGAGAGACGATGTGGAACCTCTTTGCGCCCTCGCGACTTCGAAGCACAGGGGGATCCCGCGTGTCGCCCGTGCGGAAACCTGTTCCAGTTTCATCGACCTCGACACCGATGAGGTGTCGCGTATGCATGTGCACGGAAAAGTGACACGTGCATGAGGCATTCAGCCTTATCGGCTACTGGTATATTTTTTTATCTTCATTTGTGGCTTCTCGAGGTGGTCGCATCCGTCGCGATCGCGGGTGGCACTCGTGCGACGGGCAGCTTCAGAATGCACCGAGCGTGGCCAGAGGGTATTACGGTGATTTGTTAAAAAAAAAATAAATAAATATAAAATATTTTTATATTGTAGTCTTTCCAAAACGGTTTATGTCGTCAGCACAGGACATCATAAGTGTCTCTTTCCTACTAACCTAAAGTGTTTGCACGCTGGATATGGGTTAGAAGAGCAGTCTCAAGTCTTCAGCCTACTTCACCTTACATCGCAATCTATACTCCCTGCAGCTGCAGAAGAAGAAGCTAGACTTGGGTGTTGCAAACGGTTTTTGTGGCTATCTCGACAAAACTCGTAAGGATGCACCCACGTACACCCAAGAGAGTTATGTTTTGCCTGCTCCTGGCGAGCAGACGACAACAGTCAGTTCGGGTTGCCAGATAAGCTTGGTTAGACCAGGCAAGTCCTTTTTTTTATATTCCGTGCAGTGGTTATGAGTTCTCAATAGATGAATTTGAAAGAGGCGATGACGGTACATTCGTAGATCTTCTCATCGACTTTCCACAATTTTGTAACTCGCACGGCATAACACTCGGATGATATGGTGACACCAGACGTGCAACCGGTGCTACGACTCGTATGGGCCCCTCTGCCAGTAGGCGGTCCCATCGAAAGGCTGCAGGGCCTTCTCCATCTTCCAACTCCTTCTCGCCAACTTCTGCTGTACTATCGATCCCCACTTGCCTTAGTGAGTTCCTCGGCTAAGGGGTATCTGCTTGAATGCAGAAGTTGACCCTCGGCGTTTTCGCTTGGAACACCGATCGCCCCGAGTGCGGCATAATGAAAGGACCAAGAGCCATTTTCGATTCGAATGAGTCTGGGGACCATGACCCCATGAAGCAAGATTCACCCCTTGCGACTGCCGTTCTTCCGCCCCGAGCCTAGGCCTAGCCTTGGAATGCCTGATGTCTCGCCCATGAGCGCTGTCATCTTCGTGTAGGCCTGAGGCCAACGCCACCGAAACTCGGATGTCACAAGGCTGTTGGGGCTATCCGAGAGGCAAGGCCTGCCAAAGCTCTCGTCTGTCGTCTCGTCGGCCATCAGGGCCGGAAGTCGAGAGGTTAAGGATTTCCGACGGATTTCATCCCGTCGATGGCCGAAGCGCCGATGGAATGCCCTTTAGTTCTGTGATAGACGTTAACGTAGTCTTCGTTCGTCGTGCGATCTACGACCTCGGAATTTCAAAAGCGAACCTCTCCGGATCGTGTTGGGATGCGAAGAAACTTCATTACCATACGGTGAGCCTATGAGTTCTGACCTTGCACCCGACTCGACCTACGCCCCTTTCAGGACCCAAGGTGCTAGGCAAAGTGAGTTTCACTTTGTGCACTGTCAATCGGGAACGTGGTGCTCACCGATCCGATGGTATTTTAGATGCACGCAAGTGCACGGAGCGCGACGAGTGCATTGCGACAGCTGCATCCCCACGCGACCGCAAATACTTAAGCCCACAAGTACTTTTTGCCACATGTACTCGGCTTACGCGAATCGCCACGTCACCGTCTTTCCCGTCATCGGGATGAAAAACTCCCCTGGGCCTGTCAAGCGGCAGCCGCACGACGCCAAGCATCAGCCCCCGATTGCGGCACTGCGCACCGATTGGGCTGCTCGGGAGCACGCGTGCCAATGGTGCACCGGTGCAATGCAAATCTCATCTCGTCGACAGTCGCGAAGGATCCAGCGGATGATCGACTGGTGCTGCTGTGCAAATACGGAGAATCGGGGAACCGCTCTAACTGGAATGACTCCAGGAATTAGACCTTGGCCTCAATCGTGCTTCCCCCTAGCGACTCATTTGAGATGTCCTTATAATGTGGAAAAAAAAGTTGGACGAAGAAGCGAGGTCAACGATGGAAGTTTCACCTGTAGAATTATGTAAAAGGTAAACATTAAGCGGTAACGGATTTAACCCCCCCCCCCTTTCCCCCTCCCTCACTGCCAATCGGATCTTTCTGTCAGGTTCTTCTCATTTCACCTTAATTTACTAAGATCACATAGTCATTAGCAGAGAAACCTACTTTAAAAAGTTTTTTTTTTCCCCCGATGTTCCTGCAATTACATTCTCAATTACGTTCTTCGTCGAGGGGTGCTCACCTGAGTGTAACGGGTGCAGCCGTAGCCGATGAAACGTTCGTCGAAATGAGGGACGTCGGCACGGGCCACGTAGACGGGCTCGTAGCCGATCCGGTACTTGGTGACGTTGTAGGCCACCTCGAGGCGGGGTGACTCGGGAATGGACTCCCACCTCGCCAGGTCCGAGGATTCCGAGTTCCTCACGGCCACCTTCACGTGGAACGGCCGGGCGAGCTTCTTATCCACCAGCCGTAGCAACTCCGTCTTGTTCCGAGGCAGCACGCTGGCGTTGTCGTGGATCTCGTAGGTGGGGACGACGTACACGCACTTGGTGCACTCGTGTCCGTGAGAGTGCAAGAAGCCATCCAGCGACTCCTTCAAGCCGGGCATGGGGACCATGTCCACGTCGATGAGGAACGTGAAAGGAGTGCTGCAGGACGACCGAGCCACGTTCCTCATCAGATTCTGAGGGTATTTCAGGGGGACCCGCCACTCCATCATCGAAGGAGGTCTCTTCGCCAGCAGCGATTCGATCTCCTTCTCCAAATTCGAGCAAAGGTACCCCTCGTCCTGCACTTTGGAGTCCCCGTCCTCGGGAAGGAGTTTTGGGGGATGCTCCAGATCCGTGACGAAGTGGAAGGAGACTTGCCGACGGATCTCCGGGACGCATCGACGCAGCATCTCCACGATCCCGCGTCCCACGTCCACCTCCACGTCCGGCGTGAAGACGGCCGCGGAGATCGGCCCCTTCCACACCCGACTCACGTTGATCAACTGATAGAGTCTCTCCATGGTGACCTGGGTCGCGGCACACACCCGGCTCGACTCCGAGAGCCCGTCCCACTCCGTCCCCGTCCAGACGAACGGGTGGATCGCGTATTTCCCCCACTTGTCGCGGATGCCCCGCTGCGGGTGGAAGTCGAAGGGGTCGGGCGGCGGAGCGGGTCGCTGCGCGTCGGTCTTGTCGCTCAGCAGCAGATTCCGCACGTTCACCTGGTCCGGGTCGCAGCCGTGGACCCGGGAGAGGGTGGTACGGTCCAGGATCGCGCCGAGGAAACCCAGGGTGAGCAGGGACACCGCGGCCACCGCCGTCCGGACGTGGCACCAACCGAGCCGCCTCATGCTTCGACCTGCGCACACGGGAAAAGTCGGGAACTGAGGAATGCCTGCTCGCGTGCAGATGCGTGCGCGGAGATTGCGTGCGTGTCCCTCGAGGAGGGGATATCACCTTGACCTAACCGCAACGGAGGCTCGCTACGACTTCACACTGATGGTTTCGCACGTAGACGCATCGCGGGTTCCACGAATCCCCGATGTAGTCTCGCCCCTTATTATACGTTCACAGTTTTCGAGATAACGCTCGTAAAAGCATAAACTCCCCGATAAACCTGAACCGATCTCGCTCTTCAACACCGAATTCGGGAAAATCCCGCGTAAATCCCGACGAGCGAGCTTCACGACGGCGTCCACGTCACGCCAGAGACCGTGAATCAACCGATGTCATCATCACCCTCACGACTCGTCGACACCCAGCCGCGTGTCCCCCGTGACCCCCCGGGGAAGCCCCGCCCAGGGGAGCACCGAAGGAGCACCGGAGAGAGAGCGACCCTCCGCTCTCCTTTCGGCCCGGAGAAAACGCGCGGGCCGACATCCTCCATCGATCTCGCGGACGAAAACGGTCTCACGCCAACGCCCCTTCGTTCCCTTCCTCATCCTTTCCTCGGATCCGGTGCTCCTCCGGTGCTCCCGAGCAGAAGGGTTCCCACGTTCGACGTCCGTTCGACCGCGGACGTTTACGAACCTTCCGGGAAGGCCTCGCGAAAAGCCTTCGGATGACCTCGAAGGCTTCGAGCTGCTTCGCGTCGGAGCGATTAAAAATCTCTTTCCGGTTTTACGAGGGCATTTGGACGAGGGAGAAATATGCAGCTGGGAAGATTTTTTTTTGTCCTCCCATCTGCCCCGAGGGGGTTTCCGCATATCAATTATGAGAGCATTGGCATTCGTCCCAGAAAGGGATTCCCGTTCGTCCCGTATATAGCCTCTTTGAATATCCTCTAACTCTTTATCCCTCGGCGAGGATGAACGCCCGTCAGCCTTTATTCCTCTCTGAGAAGCGGCGTACCTCAGAAATTCCTCGCGACCGCGGTCGCACTCGACTCGGAATGCGAAGCGAGGCACGAAGCGAGGCACGAAGCTCAGAAAGGCTCGGAACTCCATACCTCGCTCGGCGACACCCGCGCGAACCGGAGCGTCTCGCCGCGCGAGGCGACGGAGCGCGGCATCCACCCCGAAAGCGAAACGCGAACCGACTCGATTGCAACCCTAACCTGGCGACACGGACGCCCCAGCGGACGACACGGACGCCCCAGCGGACGACACGGACGCCTCTCCGCCGAGTGCGTTTCCGCCCAAACGACGAGGATTCGCACCCGATTAACTTAATCCCGATTACCGATTATCTCTTCCGGACAAATAGGTGATAAACGTTTATGGGCAGGCGATGCATAGCACGAGGCCGTTATCTCGGGCGCGACCGGAGCGTGTCGTGCTGGTCCCGATTTCATTCCGAATTCCTGCCGTTTCGCGGTTATCGAAGCGGCACGACGCGAGCCCGATGAGCCTCGATGAGCCTCGCTGAGATCGTCTAAAAAAGGCAGGTCCGGTCACGTCCGGCGTCCCGTCGGCCGGACAGAGAGGACGAGGCGCGCCTCGTATCGTCTCTCGCGGTGCCCCGAGAACAAACGAGACGGGACGAAGTGGGAATTCCCTCGAATGACGTCAGAAGATTCCCTC